CTTCACAAAGCTGGTGACACCATAATGAACAGCTGAATTGAAAAGACTTAAATTGAATATGAATTAACATGTTGATATTGTTAAGTGCTCTGTAACGAACTTTAATTTCTTTAGGTTTTACTAGCCCAGGTGCAGAACTCACGGACTCAGAGGCAGGATAAAGTCCAATATTTATTGGAAAAACACAGGTTTCCCTCCTGGGAGGCAGAGAAGACAGAGCAGGCTAGGTTCAGGTACAGGTTCAGGTTCAGACTTACAGGTTCAAACAGGCAGGGTGGCTCAGGCTTGCTACCATGGCAAGGACAGTTCAGTTCAACAATCCCGCTCAGAGTGGAGCTCTCACCCAGCTTCTATAGGGAGAGCTTAATAATGAGCTGATGGGGATCAGCTGTGAGCGCTGAGCACCAGCTCCCAGGAAAGGATCCACGGCGCCCTCTGGTGGGCAAGCCTCTGGATCCCAACAGATAAACAGAAACCCACAGAAAGGGATCCACATCGCCCTCTGGAGGGAAAACCCCTGGATCCCAACAGTTCTGTATTTTCTTTTCTACATCCATTCTATTCTATCACATTCCAAGTATCCAAGATTGGGTAAAAGCTCTAACAGGTGAAGGAGGAAGACTAAATACTCCTCATAGACAGGGGCTGAGCTACATGGGGGACAGGGGGGGCAACCGCCCCCCTGCTGTAGAGCCTTGCCTCGATTGAGAAGTAGTTCTTGTAACAACTATTGGGTTTGTTCTAGGAGTCTTCTAAGAGTAAAACAACCTTAATTAATCTCCAAATGGATTCAGGTGGAATCTCTATCAAATACCATAAATAACATGTTAGTTATGGTAAGTGTTATGACTCTACTCCAACTTCCTTTTGGATCCAAAGGTTTTGTTCAGCTACCCATCAGAGGTCTTTTCAAACGTCCGAATTTAAATCTCTTTCTTCAATCTATAATTAGATCTATAACCATACTGCAGTGTCAGAACTCTTCTTCTCAACACAGAGGACCCGTGCCTCTATTACTTTATATTAGGGTCAATTCAATTTATCTTTAGCAAATCTAGCAGAGATGTTTTGTTGTACAAAAAGAAGACCTCAAGCAGTATTTGAATTGCATGAAAAAGTATTATATATGATTTAACGCAGCAACAAAGAAAGGTAGGCAACAAATATATTATAGTAACCTGTGTTAGAATGACCTTCAAACATCCAGAGTGTCTGTATGTTGGTTGTCCAATGCTTTAAAAAGCTCCTACTAGTAAGACAGTATCCCTTATTGCTCAACAGAGAAGCCTCTTTAAAGTTGCTCTCCAACATGATTCAACCAGGTGATATAAAAGGATGAAAATGGCTTTGCTATTAGATTTAGATAAAGAGATTTGAGGAAAAGTAGTTCAAACCCATCCTGGACAAAAGCAGAACCTGAACTGATTTTTTATGTTGACTTGATAATATAGATAACAGAGGGGATGTAAAGAACTCCCAACAAAGGAAAGACTGTGTTGTGACAAAGTTGTTTTGTCTGTCCGTTCCCACAAAGAAAAGGTGTTTTTCTGTCTTTTCTGCCTCCATTTGTGTTTGACATGTCTTGTTTGCTCTGAGGATGAGTAAGTCCCAGTCTTCCGCTTACAGTAACACACACTTGAAGGATACCTCATTGTACGATATCCCATTTGTGTACCTGTCAGGACATGGGCCCCCTAAGGAGCACGGGGGCTGAAGTGTTCTCAGGGAAAATGTATCTTTTTCTCAGTCTCGAAATGTTTCAAACAGATGCTATTAAATTCCCTGCTGGCTGGAGACCTGGGACATTTTTATCTGTAAGGCCCCGTCTTTACAGATTGTGTCTGAAAATTATTAACTATAATTTAGGGTGCTGCATAAACATTTCATAATGTAAATCAAAAAGGTAAGTTATCGAATATTGTAGATTTGCATTATAGTTTGTAGGTAAGAGAAACCTTTATTTGTCCCAACAGCTTTAGATTTATGGGATTATTAGGGTTTACAAACATACTATATTTGACTATGAATGAACAACACTTTAGTGAGGGACAAGTTGATGAAAAATATGTATATGCAGTACGGAAACTATCTTCTTTTAATAATTTCAAGTAAAATTTGGAAACATCATGGACCACTTAATAAAGGATCAAAAAGCCTGCTGTAATACCAGCCCTAGTCATAATAAGTCCTAGCGGTGCCACAAGGAAGTCACTGCAACAGCTCTTAGTTGTACAACTACAATGTCGATGGTATGTCAACCAAAAGGACCAAGGGTTTGCTATGCTGAGACCAAATCAAATATTATGATTTTCCTGGTTGCTGTTTGAGTAACTGCCTGGGCTCACACTGAGTACAATGCGAATGAGGTCCTGATGCAGTGCAAGCTTGAC